GCAGGTCATATCGCTTCCAAGTGTACTGGTCCGAAGACAGCACCGGAGGAACAACAGCGGATCCCATTGTCACGCCCAGTTCGTATGTGTCCTACCACGTGTGGGAGTACCGAGACTGGCAAACACGAGGGTATCAACGACTTGGAGCTCCTTTACCAGCCATTGGACTCGCGATGCTCGTGAATGCAGACGCCAATTCCTCGGTGGACTCATCGGTTCCGGATGGGGCGTGGCGAGAGCCGTCACCACCACCATTCTATGATCCTTGGAACGATTCGGAGTGATACTTGAGCAACATGTCGGATAAAATGACGCGGTTGTGCTTGCTTTGTGTGCGATTCCATGTTGAGTTGTCTTGCTTGGTGTTGTGCGTTCCGTCTCCAGTTGTTCGCCGCTTTCATTTGACTCTGAGCGGTTTGCCTGGTTGATATGTTCAATTGTACAATGTATAGCGCAGCACGATGGGTCCTGCCTCGCTACTTTGACTACGACATCGTCAATGGCCCCGCGAATACGAGTGTAGAATGGATTCGGATCTATGTACCGGGTCCGTGGCATCCAGTCGCCGAGAACACCTTGGGACCAGCCCCGGATGACTCAACCACCTATCGGGAATGGCGCAAGGTTTACCACTTCGAAGTGTATTGGCCGAGGGATAGCACAGGCGGCACCAATACAGGTGCTGTTTCGCAGCCGGTATCTTATGCATCCTTCTATACTTGGCATTATAGAGACTGGGTCACCAGGGGATACCAACGGCTGGGTCGCCCACACCCTAGCATTGCGCGGCCAGTTTTCGCTTCGGGCGCACCGGACCTCATGTACGCTGGATTGACCTCTTCATCGGCATCCTCCAACTCGGATGGTGGCTGATGCTCGTCCTCGCCTTCCTGGGGAGTCCGTTCTGTTCAATTCGATTCGGGAGATTGACTTCGATACCGGAGCCGTGCGTTGCTGCAAAAGTGATTTCTCAGTAATTGTTGTCTGCAGCCGTACCTACCAATTTGTCTTTCCGGGTTTGCGTTGTCATGCCGTGGCTGGAATGGTGTCCGGATCCTCAACAACCAGATGCCCAGTGGGTCAAGATCTTTCATCCGGGATCATGGACTCCACATGAAGAACATGATGCTCCACCTCCACCGCACACGTATAGAGAGTGGAGGGAGTTCTATGCTCCCAACCCGGACCAAGACGGTGAGCAGCTCAATGTCACCATGTGGTACAAAAGAGACTGGGCCACAGAGGGCTATCGGAGAGTCGCTGCCCCTCAAGCTGGTCATGACTTTGATTCTATGTCTTTTCCTGATCATCACAGCGTGGCCACGCAATCCGCGGCATTGAGTATGTCACCGCAGATGTTAGAAGCGATCCTTAGATCCTCGGATGCGGCGGATTTCTCTACCGAAGAACTGACTCGTCTCCAAGAGGGGATTTCTCAACAACTGACAGCTCGCGCACGTCACGCTTCCCAACTTCATCAACCTGTACGTGCATCACGTGGAATCACACCATCGGAGACTGTTGGGGTCTCCGACCCATACCGGCCTGTTAACCCTCCCGACAGCTGCAAAGCCAAGGCGAGACCTATCTTCGAGCTAAATGAGGACTAGACGCACGCGAGTGGGGTAGCATACAAAATAAGGGTGGTTTCCACACTTGCATTACCTTGCTTGGTTGTTGCTTGTACATGGTTGTGCATGGTGCCTGTTCCTCTATCAGCTGGATCGGAGCCCGCGATACGCCTTGCCTCTTACTTCGACATGGACATCGAGGATTCGAAGCAGCACCCATGGCTCGAATACTCGGTCTGGCAGGATCAGGAGTGGGTGCGGATCTACACTGCAGGACAGCCTCAGCGATGGCACCACGGAGAAACTGTACCTGATCTACCAGACAATTCTTTTCGGGAATGGCAGCGGGTGACTGATCCCAATGGGCGCACTGGTGAGCACGGTCAGGCATGGACCATCCGCGACTGGCAGCATCAGGGATACCAGCGCATTCTGTCTCGAATGGAGTCCTTCACAACTCATCATTCGCATGATCAATCTCTTGGTGAAGTTCGGAATTCCGATGCCATTCCAGTTGAGGAGACGTTCACCTATGCTACTCCGTTTTCTCATGGTGATCGCTCGACTGCTTCACAACTCGCTTCAGTCCTCTATGGCGACACTCGTAATGCTCAACGTGGTGATCTCTCGTTCCCGTCTTCTGAGCGGTTTAGGGCTGTTTCTCGTTCCCCTCGCCGCGGTGGATTTTTTGGTCAACGATAGGGACACGGGGTTGAGCATGTGATCTTCCTGCGGAAAAGGAGACTTCTCGCCCCTCATTGAGGGGCGTGTGTGTGCGGAGTGACAGAATGCCCTGTCACCACCCTTTCGGTTTCTCAGCAGGGGGGTCACCCGCAGTCACGACCGGTGACCCAACGAAGAGGGTCGTGACCTGCGCTGATATCTGACCTGATCAGTCAGACGTACCTGCCGAGATGGTTGTGTTGTTCTGAATGTCCTTTTGGTCCCCCTGAACTGCCGTTGCTTCTGTGTGTCCCTGTTAAAGTAACTACAGGGAAGCCAAGCGTTATGCGAGTCGAACCTCATCATACTCGAGACTTATCAGTTGTACTCGAGACTCATCAGTTGTACTCGAAAGATTAGCACTCTCCATTTGGAGTTTAAGTGTGTGTCAAAAATGGGACTTGGACCTCCCAACTGGTGGTGTTCAACCAGGAAGTTGGCTTGTGAAAACAAAAACAGGATGTTGGACCAAACAAGTGGTTTCCTTGAATTGGTGGTTTGGTGGTTTGGTGGTTCGGTGGTTTCGAGGTGTTCCAGGGTTTGTTGCGAAATGGCTTTGTGTCCTACGACCCTCAAGAGTGGCAGGTGTCCCTTTCCCCGTAAACCCAACCGTACCCTCAAACAAAGCACACACGCCGCCCATGCTCAGTTTCACTCTTGGTGGTTCGGAGCCCACTGGTTCAGAGGGCCCGAACCAGTCGTGGGGTCAAGGCAAGTCGTGGGGTCACCTGAGACATGGGGGCCGCCCCAGACAAATACACGTAAAGGGGGGGTGCTGTTCAAGTTTCCATTGCTATGGCTCGTCATAGCGGGTAATGCAAAAAAAGTGACAAAACAATGTGTCAAGAGACCTGGAACAGTGTCAGAATTTCCCCCTCTACGTCTATTTGCCAGCGTTGGTGTAAATGTATCAACGGGGAAGGCGTAAGCAAATAGGCAAAGGTGCCCAACAGGGATTAAACACCTTCTTGAAGGATAATAAAATCAAGCTGAAACCAGTGACGTCCATTTTCGAACCAATGACTGCAAATGGACACCTATGGGCATTGCACTCGGCCCAGGCTACATCAAAATGGAACACCGCTGACATTTGTGTGGAGGTGTTTTTAGGAGGTGTTTTACTTGCACCGCAAGAATAGCGGCGTTCGTTTGAATGTCCCAAGCCGCACGCCCATGCTTCAGTTTTCAGAGCTTCAAGAAGTCCGCGCGTCCAATTGAGATCTTCAGCGAGTTTTGTTGGCTGCCACCTCAGCCTCTTTCTTCCACAAAGCAAATCAAAGACGAGTCATTCTCCCACAAAGCAAGCAAGGATGCAGGGAGGGGTGTGTGAATAAGTTGAGGGTCAAAACTTTGGTGAATATCATTCCTGTCCGTATTGGGTCCCATCTGCAGTTTTAGATCAACTTCGCGCTATTTGAAAATGGACATTCTAACCGAAATATTTTTGGATCACAATTGAATTCCAAAAAACAAGCGCTTGGAATACAAAAAGAAACACAACTGAAAAGGAATACCTCTGTAGATCCTCTTTCTGAATTGAGCCCACCTTTGAAACAGGAATCCGTATTCGTTGTTTATGTTCAAATTGAAGTCACGATGAGATTATGTCCCCATGGAATTCTACTAGAACAAAATATTGACATGGAAGTCACGTTTGGAAGGGATTCCTCTGTAAGTTATCATTGTGAATAGAAAAACATGTTTGTTTCAAAAAGTTACATTTGCTATTTTTATTCTAAGCAACATCCTAGTCGGCAAAAAGAGCCTTGACAGGATCGTTTAAGAAGCTCTCTTTTAAGGAGCTTCATAGGAAGCTCTACTAAGGAGCTTCATAAGAGGCCTGAAAAGGTTTGAAAGCAGTTTTTGCACGAGAACACGAACCTGTAAAAGGAGCTAAGGATCTTAAAAATCCAACCAACGGAGCTGGTACGGAGCCTGAGAAGGAGCTTCAAAGGGAGCCTTGTGAGAAGCTTTTCGAGAAGCCTTGCAGCCTTATGAGGATCCTCGTACGGAGCTTTATAAGGAGCCTTATGAGGCTTGAGTCAAGAATTCAAGACCAGCTGCAAGCAAATTCTATTTTACCTCTGTGGCATTTGATATGTGTACTGTCAATACCAAGACCAATTTGAAAGGACTTCAAACCTTCACAAGCCAATAGTAGATTGGGCGGGGCTGGCAACATATAATCATATCACACCAAAAGTTGGCACTCGGCCTGGCTTAATTCCTCTGCCAGGAAACAACGTAGAGGCTGCTTCGTGTATGAATGCTCTCTTGCATGGCTCTTTCTTATGCAGAGCTCCCACATCTACCGAACTCAGTCTGGTTCTGTTCTCTTGGTTTTCGTGAAACAATGCAAAAGGCAAACATGAGACACCCATACATATATACTTATATACGTGATCCACTCCGGCGGCAATGGGCGCCCTCTTCCCAATCCTGAAGGAGATGCTAGCCCTGCCCCCCGACGAAGCGATCCACATATTCTCTGACGCACACACACACACATACAAACCAACCAAAATCAAGTGGGTGTTGATTCATCCTTGTCTTTAATTAGCACACAATCTTCACTTCCCCCTGAAAGAAACTAAATGTTCTTCCACTCCCGCACAAAAAGACGAAACTCAATGGGGCTAACTGCCCCCGCTTCTTTGACACACACACACACACACCAAGGCCCCGCATCAAGACACCCAAGCCCGCCTATTGATGACCGGCGTATCTACACCACACTGCAAGCCATGAGTGTCGATGCCGTGCGACAGCTTCTTGGTGTTCCCGGTCGCCGAGGCCCAAACGAACATCGCCAGAAGGGCGCCCATGCCGATCCTCGCGCGCGAGCCCCTTCTTCGAGAACCGGAAAAAACGAGAAGCTCGGCCGAGCTGGAGATTGGGATGGGTCAAAATAAAGGGGTCCCGGAAAATTTGGGGACTTTGAAGTTTGGTCTCCCTGTAAACTAATCTGAAAGAGGCAACCATCAAAAAAACGCAGGTGTCTCGGAATAGGAGTTCGTGCCGAGTTCCCTTGGGGGTTGTTTTGAAGAGCAGATGTCAAACAGGTGGGCGCGCCCTTTTTGAGGCTACCTCTTTTGGCGTGTTTTGAAGGGAAGCCAGAAAGAAAGCACCCATATCTTTGATTTTGGGGGTCGCGTGTTTTGAGAGAGTCCCGTACACACGCAGGCGTGGAACATGTATGCGCGTATTTTAGGTATGCCTCTGTATCCGCACCCCGCCGAACCTCCCCGATGCGTGGACCTTGTCGCGCAGAGACGAGTACAAAACATAATGTGTGTGTGTGTGTATCGGTTATGAGAACAAGCTTGTCTACCCGGTGACCCCTTAAGTTCCCCAACACGACATGGGTCACCACACTGGATGACACACCGAATGACATCAAGCCGATTGTCATGTCGGTCAGGTCTGAGAGGCTTCAGAGGTGAAGCAAATAACCTAAGATTGAACATGGGCGAAACACGAACAGCCTTACCTGAGCCAAGCCCAGAAATTGCAACTTCTAGTACGTCAATCTCGCGTCCCAGATTGATATCACAGAGCAAAGGCCTTGGTTGGTGCCAGCTTTGCTCTGCCCCTGACAGCCGCTGCGGACGGATGGTCCCTGGATAGATCAAGGACATGGCACACAGTATATATATATATATATATATGTGAATACACATGCATATATATATATACATAAATATGCATCCACACTGTTTTAGAGAACCTGGGCCCTTGGACAAAGGAACCCCCACTAAACTCACGAATGCCAAGGGGCACAAAGAGTATCCCGCAAGGCAGGTCGGTACATCTCCGCTGGTTCTCAAAGAAGTCCTTCGCCACCTGGTGGCTACTCAACAAGATGCCCCGCATATCCCAACCGCCAAATTCTGGAAAACCCACAGAACAACATATGCGCCCCCCCCAGCAACAACATAATTAGCCAGCGAGCTGAGGGTCATGCTGCTGAAACTGTGTTCAAGGTCTTCCAGATGTTCCCTACCCCCTGAATCTTGGTACCTGGGCCTTCTTCAGACCTGACAATGGAGATCCCTTTCACCCATGCGCAAAGCAAATCCGTGGCGAACTCATGTTTGGTCCTTCAAAAAGAGGGGAATTGGTGGTAACACCAACTTTGGTCTTCCTTCAGAAAAAAGGGGGCACCGAGCCTCAAAAGTAAAGCAACGCTCACAGAGCCTCAAGAAAATAAGATCACAACATCTTACACCCACTAGATTCAACAACTCAAACCAACTCCAAAAGGGGCACCGGGGGGGAAAAACAAAAAAAAGAACGCTCTCACCTACTAAACGGGACTCAACAACTCAAACCAACGCACCTCGCCTGAAGACGGGCATTTCGCACGTCGCTCACCGGCTCACAAAACTCAAACTCTTTCTCCCGCCTCGCTCCCGCTCTCGTCGCTGCTGCCTTCACTCTCCGACATGGCTCAAAAGTTCGCCGCCGGCGCGCGGCGCGGCGGCTTGGCTCCGATTCGAGTGCTGCGGGAGGCCACCGCGGTTTCCGCCGCCGTTCGTTTCGCCGCAATCGACATGCCGCGGATTGGTTGTTGCTCTTTTGCGGCTTTTTTTGGCACTCGGTACTCGGTATGAGTGGCCTTGAAAGGAAACCAAAGGGGACGACACACAACCTGGTTGCTCGAAATTGGCTCCGCGATGAAACCCATGGCGCTGTTTTCCCTCAACGAATCCCGATATTCCTACCCCGCCCTTGTTGGGACACAAGGGAAACCCTCTGGACACATCGATGGATTTTGAACGAGCCAAACCGGAGCATGCTTAGCGAAGACCAGGCTTCAGCGATGCCCAGACAGAGGTTTTTGCTTGCTTTGGGGAATAGTCTCCCTGGTTCTCAGCACGGAATGAGGGAATGACCACCAAAGGCCATCCCCTACGGTGTCCTTTATGGGAATCCACTGCCGGTGCATTCCCAACACCTTGGATCATTAGCACCAGCAGGTATTTGATCCATCCGGTTTGGATTTGTTTCAAATTTCCAGTGGAAACCCCCAGTTTTCAACTGGAACACACCTCGACTCGGATTTCCCGGTCGCATATCTTGATCCACTTGTGTCCCAAAAGTCGAACACATCGCCTACATTCCCTGCAAGCTCATACAGGGGCCAGCATTTCGTTTGGTTTGGCTTCCCAGGCTCTAGTGCTGGGGCTGGTGCTGGGGAAGAAAGGACACCCCATGTTTGGCAATTGGACAAAAAGGGGAACAAAGGACAAAAAAAAAATCTGCAACCGTTGGCCATCTTGCATTGCAGTGCTAGGCTGCATTTTGCATAGCTTGAATATCAAACTCATCTCAAACCAAACACGTGAGGAAACGTAGAAAAAATGTCGACTTGCTTCTGTCTGGGTTGGTTCCTGGTTGTGGCAATTTTCTGCGCACCCGAAGCGAGGCTGGATTTAGCCTGGAAGGGGACCCATGGATTCAGTGCCTTTAATTGTCTGACCATCTTGAATCTTACATCCAAGATGAAAAGGGGATGTAAGTGTTTAAATTCCTGAGTTTGAACATTAAGAGTGGTGCGCGTAAAGCCCCAAATGATGTCTACCGAAGGGTCCCAACCCAACTGAGATTCAATCCCATATCTACATAATATATATATATATATATGTATATATATATATATATATATATATATATTTGTACATGTTCCCTTTGGCAGCGTTGAAAAACCACGTGGTCGTCGGCGCAAAATGCATCACCTCTTTCCAGGTAACCTCTCCTGAAACTGGCTGACATAAGCACCCCGATTGGGGTAAAGTCTGGCCACGGCTCACACAGGCCACACAGAGGGCTGAGCAGTTGCCCAGCAAAGGTGTCACTGCAATCAGCAGATGTTCCCCGCCCAAATCCCCTTGCGCCCCCGGCTCCGCTTCGCCAACTCCGTCAGGCGCCACTTGGGCCAAAATACGCGTGGAATATACTCCATATATGGGTATGTATCAGCATGGGGCGACCCCATAAATTCAACAAAAGAACAGGGCATTCTGACCTGTCTCCGCTCATGTCGGGGCAACATGCGTAACATTACAGTGTTGCCATGCGCAGCATGCCGACGTATTGTAACACCCTTGCTTAAGGTACATTTGCAAGCTACCAACCGGGTTTGCTTTCGTTTTCTCGGCTTTGTGGGCCAGCAAGAGCAGCAGCCAAACATGCCACGCATTGTTTAAGGTTTTGCTTTGCTGGGGAAGCATGCTGCGCACACATGCAGAACACATGCGTTTGTGATGAATACATGCTAGAAATGGAATCTCAAATAATGTTCACGGCACCTGGCTGTTGATCAGCTCAGGTCCAGACATTTGTCACTCTGACGCAGGGATAATGTTGAAGTTTGGCGACCGGTGAACACAGCTTTCCATTAAACCCATGGGCCAAACGCCAATGGTTGCGAACAAAACCGCTTAATAAGGATTGAAGACGAACATGTTAAAGGTCCCGCGCACTGCTCCTAGCCTCAAACCACAAAGAACCCAGAACCCAAAAGCCGACAGCAAGGCGCACACCTTTTTACCGGGTTGCTTGGGAAGGTGGCGCTTTCCTAGGGCACTGCGGTGCACCTAGGACAAGGGGCGAGATGTTCCCCCCCCTTGCCTTACCCCTTAAAACTCCAAGCCCTGAAAAAGTTAATCTTTCCCAGACATATGGCCCATGTTACCCCAAAAAAGTTGAAAAGTTGTGTTTTTAACAGGTAAGTTGAGGGAAAAAGTGTTGCAAGACAAGCGTGTCCTTGCGTTAAAATGCTAAAAGGGGGGCGTGGCAAGCGTGCCCACGCCCGCATCAAAGGACCTGCGGGTCCAGAGACGCCAGCAGGGCCAGACCGCGGGTCTGGACCCTGGTATGAAGCTGAGAGTGCGCTCCCAGTTCATATCCGGAGGGCTCCCAGCTGGGAGGGCTGTCCGGTAGGCCTAAAAGCAAGCTAAGGGCTTAGAAGGGTCGGGTGGGTGGAAACCAGGACTGCGAGTCCTACACGTGAGTTCGAGGGCTAGGAGCACCAAATGGCGGCGGCGTAGGAGATTCACCCCAGACCTATAAAACACAAGGGAAAAGAAAACCCTTAGCGTTAAAGGTCCCGCGCACTGCTCCTAGCCTCAAACCACAAAGAACCCAGAACCCAAAAGCCGACAGCAAGGCGCACACCTTTTTACCGGGTTGCTTGGGAAGGTGGCACTTTCCTAGGGCACTGCGGTGCACCTAGGACAAGGGGCGAGATGTTCCCCTCCTTCAGTGCTTCCCAAGGCAACCCCGGTAACAGGCGATTGAGGCCCAGGCGCAAAGTCCCCCTCTTCAGTGCGGGGTTGCACCTGCGGCGGAACGAAGCACAGGGACAGGCGATGCGAGGGCATTGCTGACCCCTTAACGCAGCGACTTCTATCAGTGCATTTTCCTGACGCTTGGAGTTTGGGCGCAAACTCGGCCATCGCAGCCAGGTCTTCTGGCTGCGGAAAAGCGCCTCAGTGCGAAATGCAGAAGGCGAGCGCGCGCGGCGGTCGAAGGCCACAAATGGCTTTCTGAGGCCGGACGGCTAGCAAGCCATGTGTCACACATGCCCGGCGGCTGCAGCCAGAACATCCGCCCATGGTGCCTCTGCGGGGCAGAGCTTGTGCAAGGCCGGCAGGGCTGAAGCGCACGCGATCGGCAGGGCGTTGGGCAAAGCCCTTTAGCTGATGCAGTCACCTACATGTACAGGTGACTGCATGCAACGGGTTAGGAACTACCTTTTAGGAACCCTATGTGTTAAGGCATGTTGCACTGCTCCTAGCTTGAACCCAAACATGAAACCCCAAAAGAACAAAGCTCGTCCGAAGCGGCCGCAGTTCTTTTTACCGGGATTGCTGAAAGTAGCACTGTTTCCAGGGCACTGGTGCGCCACTGCGAGGCCCTCCTGAAGCTGAGTTGTGCGAACAGGCACAGGGCAAGGCATCAGTACATGGCGACATTGGGTTGCATGGATTCATAGCACTGGCTGCAATAGTGCGAAGTGTGCGTGTCCTCGCACAGGGGAATCCTGTCGTTGATGATGCGGCCGCAGGCTGAGTGGAAAGGGCAGGGCGATGACGCACAAGGCAATGCGCAGCACACTCGGGATTGGTCATCCAGGTACCACGCTTTGGCGACCCCTCCTACTCGCGCAGCTTTCATAGTGGTGGGCAGTCGCATGGCAGGAATTTGCGCACACTGCTCCAGTTGGGCGATAGCGCGTGAGTTCTCCTGCGGCTGGGAGGGCTTTGGCCAAGGCTGCGCGGGCTTGCGGTAAGACTGCCGTTCATTGTTTTCAGCAGGAGTCAATGCTGAAGGCGTGATGGGCTTCATCAATGCGCGTGGCACACGTGGGGGGGCTGCTGAAGGGCATTCATCCACCAGCTGCCGTCCCACGCGTACAGAGTACTGCAGGTCAGGCTTGGGCTCATAAAACCCGGCTGAAGGCTGTGGGGGCCAGTCACAGGGCGGGCTCAGGGCTGCCTTGAGCGGGGGCCCTGGCGGCGGCCTCAAGGCAGTGGCCTTGGCTTGGGCGCAGCCTTGGGAGCTTGCTTAGCCGGCAGGGCATCGTCTGGAAAGTCCGGAGCGTTGTATCAGCCCTGCAGCAAAAATGAAAAGCCTTGGGCCGACCAGCTCGCGCCCGAGCTGCCTCCCGAGGCCCCGCCGGCAGACTCAGCACCCGCACCGGTGACTCCCCAAGACGCACTGCCGGCAAATCTAGAGACCGCCTCAACTGAGGTACCAAAGCCTCGTCCTTCGCCTTCAGCTCCGCGTTGGCCCAAAAAATTTTCTGCCCTGGCAGGGTTGAAAAGATTGAGCGGACGCCCCTTCAGGCGGCAAAGTTGAAGACTCATCCGTGGGAAGGGCGGCTTCTGGCAGAGGACGAGGGATCTCGAGGCCGTCCGTTCACGCAGGGCTGTAAGCATGGCGGTTAAGGCTGCCTGGTTCTCTTCTGTCATGCTGGAGACAACGCCCATCAGGTCTGGCACTGATGAAGGCACCTGGTCCGACATGCTTAAGGCAATCGAGTGGGGCCGTGGCGCGTTGCACACTGCTGAAATGGCTACAAATGCAAAGGCAGTGGTATCTAAAACGAATGCGCAAACAAAGCAGCAAGTCGGGGCACGTGATGACAGGGCTGCTGGAGATCCGGCGCGGGCCTGTCACAATGCTCATGTACAAAAGCCAGAAAATGGCATGGATAAGGCACCACTGCCAGATTAGGGCTACGGCAGAATGTGCCTGAGTCCGCGATTGACAGTGCTTGTCGAATCGGGTGTCAAGCAAAGCGCCAGGCACACACTTTTAAATCTGTGAGCATGAAGTAAGGTCCACTGGTTCGTGAGAGTGCATTTGCAATGCTGGCAATGCGGGCAATGCAGGCTGAAGACGCACAATAATGAATTCAAGGTCTTCAAGGCAAGACAAAACCGCGTTCAAAAGGCGGGTTGTCTTGGGGCCAACACAGGCGTGCAAGAGTGAAACTAAGGCTGCCTCTGAGTGCTCGATGCACTGCGAAGTTCCAGCCCCTGGCTGAATGATTTGAGGTCTGGCCAGAGAAACATGCTGTAGGT